ATATATAAAAGTTGAAATAAACGTAAGCTCATGAACGAGCTAACAATTTGGTGCCGTGACCCATCTTCTTCTATTTACTACATCGAAGAAGAACGAACTTATTAATTAATTTACTCATCCGTAACGGAAAGAGTGTAGTATAATCTCATCCTTCTAGGAAAGAGAAAAATTAAATATTTATTCATAAATTATTTTCGAAATTTATTTATTATAAGAAGGTATCTTCTTTCTATATAAAGTTCAAATTTTTTGTCCTTCCTTTAAGTGCATTTTTTTTCAACAACGGCTACCGGTACAAGAAACGCAATAAAACAAGGTGGTACGAACCTTTTATCATACGAATTAATTACTAATTCACCAACACGAATACGAAATAAAAAATTAAACGATATTTCATCTATGCAAGAAATGGAAACAACCCCAATGGAAACTCAACAACTTCATTCAAGTCAAAAAGAAGCAATGAAGAAAATAGCTGAATTTTCAGGAGAAGCTAATGAACTCGATATCGATGAATGGTTATTTGATTTAAATAATTTATTTTCATTAATGAAATTAAAAGATGAAACAAGAATTCTTGAAACAATGGGCAAATTAACAGGACCAGCATTACGATGGTATCAAGAAAACTTACGATCATTTATCAACTGGAGTGATGCTGAAAAAGCATTACGAGATCGATTTAAAGAATTTACATCAGACAGTCAATTAATGCAAGAATTTTTTTATATTTATCAAAAAGAAAACCAATCTGTTATATCATTTTATGAAAATGTTATTCGAAAATATAGAAAGTCTCGACAATTTATTACTGAACAACAAGTTATTACGGTATTACAGAATGGTGTAAAAAATTCATTAAAGGAACATTTAATTCGTAATGAAAAAGAAATTAAAAAACCAGAAGAATGGTTGCAATTTGCAAGAGAAGAAGAATATATACAAAAACGAATTCAACAAAAAATTAGCGTTCCACATCATGAATCAAAGAATTTACCATTTTTTGAACGTACATTATCAACTGCAACAATTCAACCAACGTCAACAAATATTCAGTTATCAAGTCAACAACCATCTACATCACGTCATTATTATAAAAAACCACATCAACAACAATCAACATCAACACGTAGTCGAACATACCCAACACAAAATAATTATATGACCCTTAACCGAAATCAAGAAAATTATCCGAAAAAGGAAACTCAGCAATCAACTCCATGTTTAATTTGCAACAAAAACAATCATACAACAATTAAATGCTTTTATAAGAAGAACAATGGCTGTTTTAAATGTGGACAATCAAACCATCAAGTACGTGATTGTCCTCAACAATATTTTTTCGAATAAAGGGATCGGATGATGGCGACGATCCCTGTGGAGCCAAAAAGTCATCAACAACAACAACATTTTCTCCCGTTTTCGTCGAAATTTTATGCAACAACACTCCACAAAAAGCACTCATCGATACCGGATCGGCCATCACTATTATACATCAACAACTATTAAATGATATACCACATGGAAAATTAATACCAAAAACAATAAATCATTTATCTGCAAATTGCTCAACATTAAATATTATTGGTGAGATACCTTTAGAAATAAATGTTAATGGAATAAAAACAACAATTATTGCTGATGTTACAACAAATCTTGTTACAAATTTGATATTAGGTAGTGATTGGATTCAATCAAACAACGTTTATATTCTCACACCTGAACAACGAATTATGATCCGAAGTCGAGGTAAAGAAGTATCAACTCCTTTCGTTACACCACCTCTTCTAAATTATCCAGCTACTCTTATTAATTATATTACTTTTCCTCCTTTTTCAGAAAAAATAGTAGAAGCAAAAGTTCAACCTAACAATATGACTGACATATTATTTGAACCAAATCCTCGGTTAAAAAATAAAGCATTATTTACTGCAAATGCATTACTCAATATCGAAAATAGCAAAATTAGAATTAGTATAATTAACGCAACTAATCGACAACAAACGCTTTCCGAAGGAACCAAATTAGGTATAGTGACACAAGTATCTTCTACAATTGGTGTCACCATGTCATCAAATTATTTAACAGAACGCATTCCGGAAGGAAAAGCGTGTAAAGAGCTCATTCCTGAAGGGAAAGGAGCGAATAAATCAAACAAATTAAATTTTAATAATATGCTGACTACAACAGTACGTGGAAAACAACACCAATGTCGTGAATGTTATCGAAATTTTGATACTGGCAACGAATTGTTTAAACACCTTAGAAACAAATGTTATCCTGAAGAAATAAGACAGCAAATAAACAAATTAACCGAACATATTAGTGATGATAAACAACGAGAACAAATTTTAAAAATTTTATGGAAATATGGAAAATTATTTGATATTAGAAGACCATCAAAAATTGATATTGTTTTAAAAAATGCTATTGATACTGGTACACATCGACCAGTCCATACTCCACCATATAGGAAATCGAACAAAGATCAAGAAACCTTAAGAAAAGAAACAGATAAATTATTAAAAAATGCAATTATTGAACATTCAACATCACCATGGTCTTCACCTGTCGTTTTAGTAAAAAAGAAAGATGGAACAACAAGATTTTGTGTCGATTATCGTCGTTTGAATCAAATTACAACGAAAGATGCTTTTCCTCTACCAAGAATCGACGATATTTATGACCAATTAACAAAAGCAACATATTTTACAAAATTTGATTTCAAAGCAGGTTATTTTCAAGTACCATTAGACAAATCAGATCGACCAAAAACAGCATTTTCAACTCGAGATGGACATTTTCAATTTAAAGTATTACCACAAGGTCTTACTAATGGACCACCAACATTCCAACGTATTGTTAATCAAATATTGGGTCCGAATAGGTGGAAACATGTACTCGCCTATATCGATGACATTATTATTTACTCACAAAATTTTAATGAACATTTAAAGCACATTGAAGAAGTATGTTCATTATTACAGGAAGCAAATTTTAAATTAAATGTTGAAAAATGTGAAGTTGCAAGACCAGAAATATTATTTCTTGGACATGTAATTAAAGCTGGTACTATTAAACCTGATCCAAATAACATTCGTGGCTTGACTGATACAAGAGAACCAACATCAGCTGAAGAAGCATTTAGATTCGTCAAAGCAGCAGAATATTATAGGAAATTTATTCCAAAATTTTCCACAATTGCTGCACCATTACATAAATATTCTCCAGCAACATTACAACAACAAAAGTATAATAAAAAATTAACATTTGAATTATCTGCTGAAGCTAGAATAGCATTCCACCAACTCAAAAAAATATTAACAACCGATCTTATTCTTGATCTGCCTGATGATACATTACCATTTAAATTACAAACTGATGCTTCTGGAGATGGAATTGGTGCCGTTTTATTACAAATTACTGTCAACGGTGATCGACCACTAGCATACATGTCAAAGAAATTAACAAAAACACAAACTAATTGGCCAACAATTGAACAAGAATGTTATGCAATAGTACAAGCAATAGAAAAATGGGACAAATATCTTCGTGGCCATGAATTTATATTAGAAACTGATCATGAACCGTTAGTTCATTTTACAAACAAAGAACAATTAAATAAAAGATGTGAACGATGGCGATTAAAATTAGCTGAATATCGATTTAAGGTGAAACACATACAAGGCAAGAAAAACAATATGGCAGATTATCTTTCAAGATCACCAGTCGAAATAGCTGAAGAAGATATTGAAGAACGAACTCAATATGAATCTACATCAACACAAACAGATTTATCATTTTCATCATTAAATAAAAATTTAATTCCATTAAAAATAACAACAGCAGTTACTAGAGCTCAAGCCAAGTTACAACAACAAGCAATGGCAACACCATCTATTAAACCAACAAATGAAAAAATTAATGAGCTCATCCCAAAAGGGAAAGTAGCGATTGATGAAGAACCGATAATCAAACAATCAGATGAAAATCCAAACAAGATCATCCCATTTGATATGGATGATTTAAGGAAACTTCAAGAAGAAGATAAAACAACTCAAGAAATAAAAAAGAATATCAAGAATAAAAAGCATTATTTTATTGAAGATGGAATATTATTTAGAAAACAACAGCTACCACTTCCATCTGTACCATATGTTCCAGCAGGACGAATACGTGGTGATATATTAAAAATTTATCATGATACACCTGCTAATGGAGCTCATTTTGGACGTGACAAAACAACAAGAAAAATTCAAGAACGTTATTATTGGCCAACAATGATAGCTGATACTAGAAATCATATTAATTCATGTTTACCATGTGCACAAAATAATTATCGTCGTCAAAAATTACCAGGAAAATTAAAACCAATACCACCACCGGAAGGAATATGGAAATTATTAAGTATGGATTTTCATGGTCCAATAACTCCAACATCAAAGCACGGAAATAGATATATTATATCTCTTACAGATGTATTATCAAAATTTGTTATTACAAAAGCCGTTCGAGATTGTTCAGCAACAACAGCAGTGAAATTTCTTACAAACGATGTCATATTAAAATACGGAACTCCAACATGCATTTTAACTGATAATGGTACTCATTTTACTTCTCAAGTTACGAACAAATTATTTGAAAATCTTGGAGTTACTCATTTATATTCTACGGTATATCATCCACAGACAAATGGACAAATCGAACGATTTAATGCGACAATGGATGGAAAAATTGCTGCATTATGCAATGAACGATGTACAAATTGGGATGAAGTCTTACAATTTGTTACATTTAATTATAATACGTCAATACATGCAACAACAAGACAAACACCTTTTGAAATGATGCATGGACGACAAGCTGCTCTTCCATTCGATCAACAACATGAAATTATTTCGCTCACACAAGATCCAGAGCATAGTCGAAAAATTAGAACATATCTTGAAAAATTAGTCAATGAAGCTCGAAACAATATTATAAAAAATCAACAACAATATAAAGCTCGATATGATTTACATAGACAAGATTTATTATTAAAAGTTAATGATTTAGTTTTAATCAAAACAAGAAATGTTAGAAATAAATTTGATATACGATATGAAGGTCCATTTAAAATTATTAAACAATTAGGACATAAAACATTCATTGTTCAACATGTAAAAAAATTAACATTAACAAGACAAGTAACAATGGATGTTATCGTTCCTTTGGTGGAACGATGGAATTTAATTTAATAACACACATCCCAAAAGGGAGAGATGTGGGATATGTTAAAACAACTAGTGAAGCATGCACATTAATAAAAGTCAAAAAAAAAAAAAAAAGAAAGAAAAATTTTTTTATATATTTACACACGTATATATATATAAAATTATTATTTAAAGTAATTAAAAATGATTGTCTTTGATTCAGCAGTCCATGTCGGGGAGACAGAATTTCACCTTCTCACTGACAAGGAGGGGCTGTCAAACTCAAAAATTGATTTAAATTGACTTTATATTATGTATATTAGTCATCGGATTCATATATTATATGCGATGACTCATCCACCAATCACACTGCATTATAATCGAGGCACTTACAGTGCTGGCGCCATACTGTACAGTACGAACAATAATGCACGTGTTCCAGTTGGACGACTTTACTATTATCTGAACATTAACATGATATATATATATTCCACATCAAAAGGAAAGAAAAAATTTTATATATGGATAACAATAGCACCGTCTGTTATACACAGAGGAAAGGAAAATTTTATATATGGATAAAAAATCGAATATCTATATATACAAAGGAAAGAAAAATTGACCTCAAAGGAAAATGACCTTAGTGAACAAATATTTTATTACGCCATTAAATTATAAATTACGTATTTTCATTTAGTTATACATTACGCATTTTCATTTAGTTATACGCTACCATGTCTTTAAAACGCTCATTATCTAATTTACCTGATTTTTATTTTAAATTAAACACCAAGCAAAAAAGAAATTATCGAAAAAACACCAGAAAAATTGAACGAAATGAAGAATATAAAGAACAACATCCACCATTTCATGCATCATCCAACATCGACGTTATTCACATTCATTATCAATCAACAATTACTATGATCGATGAATTAATTATTAAAGCAAAACAAACGAAACGATATGTCGTCGACACAGAATCAGAAAGGAACAAACACGAAAAACAAGGTGCACTAATTCAAATACAATTTATTCATTCAATCCATCATTCAACAATAATATTAATTGAAACTAATTATCTACCAAATTCACAATCAATATTATTTAAAAAAATAAAAGAATTATGTGCAATTATATTTAGTAACAACAACGAAATTATATCATGGGGACCAATTAATGATGAATTTAAACATTTTAATCATCTCGACCTCATCCATATAGGTAAGATTGTTGATACTAATTTACAATTTTTATTTAGTGATCAATACAACAATCCGAATGCGCATCCCGAAAGGGAAAGGCGTGATGATTTACAAATGTATGATACCCATGATGATAATGAAATAACAGATGATGATTATGATGATAAATATCAAGTTCAAAATAACTCAAGTCAGCCAATATCGTTACAAAAAGCTATTGCAACAACATTTAGCAAATTTATTGATAAATCATTGACTGTTAATTATTGGCAATGTGGTCTCGATTTAAATTTAAATACTTGGAAAAATAAATTATTCAGTCGTTATGAATATAATCAACAAATAGAACAACAACAACGAACAGCAATGAAACAATATGCAATTAATGACTGTACGGCAGTGGCCGAATTATTCTTCCATATGTATCCATTGAAGGCCAATGATTTTCAAATACAATCAACACCATCATTAGCATCAACACAAACAACAACAATATTAACACCACCAGCAACAACATCAACGAATATTTCATTTAATTTGGACGATGATTTATCAAATATAAGTGAAGATGATTTAATAGAATTATTAAAACCAAAATTTAATCAAAAAGAAGAAATTTTCCATCAACCACATCATCAATCAAACGAATTAATAATAACAACAACAGCACGTGAAATTTATGAATATAATCAACAATTAGAACAACAACCATTACCTACATCATCATCAACAACAAGATTATCAAAATCCGAAAAACAAAGACAGAAAAATATGAAACTCAAATGGAAACAAAAATATCATCCCAATTTTCAACACAAAATTAAAAGACCAATTTATTACAAATATGATTATCGAAAAATACGGGCCCAATTATGTGATGATAACATATATACAAGCCATCAAATTGCAATAAATCGAAAATATAGTGAAGTTGTTATTGGTTTAAAATCTCAACAAGAATTAGAACGTGCAACAAAAATTATGAAAATTAATTATTTTTCAAAAAATCAATATATCGAACGATGGGGGTAAGAAGAAATTTTTTCTTCAAAAAAAAAAATAAATAAATAAATAAATAAATAAAAAAAAAAAAAAAAATAAAATGAAAAAATAAATAAAAATAAACAGAAATCGATCATCAAATCAAATAAACAACCCCATCAACAACAAACAACAACGACAACTACAGACAAACATCAACAACACAACAAACAACCATTGGTCATAACGTCAACAACGCAAAAAATAATCATCATTCACAACATCATCGACAACAAACAAATGAGCACAATCTATTAGTTAAGAATCATATTCATGTTTTATCTATTTAGATTGTCGATATACAACATCGTCTTACTTAGCAATAACATCATCACCAATATCGTGAACAACGTTTATTAGAACATTTAAATAATGAAGAACAATTAACATTTAATTATAATAATTTAAAAACAAACAATAAAACAACGTCGACAACAAATTGAATTATTAGGAAATCATTATCAATATTATTATGATTTAAGTGATGCTGAAGTATGATTGTGTGAACAAAAATTATATATGATGAGTGAAGAACGTGATAAATATGAATTAACAATATAAATATTTATACATAAACAACAAATAATTAATTAAACAATTGAAAATTATCGTTATATATCGTATGGATTAAATCATAGTACACATAATTATTTATGAAAAATTCATTAACATATTCATCATGTCTTGATGGTCCAACATGTTTAAAATTACCTCAATTATGTTTGACGTTATGGAAGAATTCATCAAAATTGTATACCATGTGTACAAGAACGTTCAAACATAATATATATTTATACAACATTATGTCTCAATGCATTAACACAATCTAATATATGTATGGAAAAATATCTGAATATGATAATCCATTAAATATATCAACTGAAGATATGTATATATATATATATAAAAAAAAAAACATCATCAAAATGCTTAACATGGCAACATGCTCAAGAACATTCAAACATGAACTATTAGTTATTGTTGATATGCTTATTTAGAAAAAACAATTTGATATGGAACATAAATGGTTAACATTATTAAATAATTGTGCTACGAAAAATATAATTGATCGTGTTCGATAAATATTAGTTGAAGAAAATATACATTGGTTATTAAATGAAGAAAATATTGGTAATGGAAATAAAATTTTATAAATTATTGATACACTTAAAGGTCAAATGATAAATGGCATTTATGTATTGAATTAATTGAACATTTATCGAAAAAGATCATTAGTTATATACATGCAAAATCAATACCTTCTTCAAGATTATTTATGAAATTTCGTTTGATACAATATATAACAATATGAACGATCCAAATTATGTATTCTAGTTACTGGTTTAGTTTATCGTTCATCAACTTCAACATCCTATTTACTTGATTGGAAAAATAAAACCATCGCTGAACTTACAATATTAAATTCAAATTCATCAACAACAAATGTTATTTATAGTCAAATACAAATAGTTTTATTTAAACAACATATTAATTCATTACTTATATATGACAATAATACATTATTAATTATTGATAGTCGTACGGGTGATTTAATAAATTAAAATGATATAGGTCCGTTTGGTATAAAAACTATGAAAACATTTACAATGAATTTACAAGGTGAAATTATTATAAGTGATCATCGTATACGTATATTATCATATGATGAAAAAATTTACGACAAACATCATCTATAAATCAACAACGAATGATGGCTGGTGATATACTTATACATGAACTCATGGATGTATGAGGACATACATCTAATAGGAGAGAGGAGGATTGTTAGCGGTGATTCATCACCGTCCAGCCCTTGATCTCTCTTCT